TGGCAGAGCGCTTGCCTTGCACATGTAAGGCACTGGATTCAATTCTCAGCACCACATAAAAATAAATATACAAAATCAAGATATTGTATCCATGTATAACTAAAAAACATTTTAAAAATTTCACTCTCCTCCATATCGCTTTCTTATATACTGGTTGAAGTGTTTTAGGATGCATACCTTAACACTGGTTATGTGAATGTTTTGGAGTCATGAACAGATACTTGGTAACAGTCCTTCACAAAAGTGCACCTAGATTCCTAGACCATTAAATTTGGAAGCCCACAGAAAGTTGTCTCATGGCTTCTTTTTACAGATTGGCAAATTGAGGCCCAGGGAGGAAAAAGAAACCAATAGTTCTAGAAAGAGAGTATATAAGTGGAGACCAGAAAACCCCAGATTTTGGTGGATTAACTGTGTCAACTCTATGGAAATCAGAGTGAATTTCTTTCTTCTTTTTTTTTTTTTAAAGATTTTAATATTCAATTTTTTTAAAGAGAGAGAGAATTTTTTTAATATTTATTTTTTAGTTTTCGGTGGACACAACATCTTTGTTAGTATGTGGTGCTGAGAATCGAACCTGGGCCGCACGCATGTAAAGCGAGTGTGCTACCGCTTGAGCCACATCCCCAGCCCAGAGTGAATTTCTATTAAGTTCGTTTTCTGGTCTTAAAGTTTGCATGTTTGCTACCTAAGAAGACAATAAAATAAATAAATAAATAAAAAATAAATAAATAAATAAATAAATAAATAAATAACCAGCCAACCAACCAACTGGCTACATGTAAATAACATTCCTTCCAAATTTGACAGTGGAAGAGTTTGGCTTTAGGTTTTAAAATCTTAACATTTGGCCACTTCCTTTTTAAAGGATGTGACTTTAAGAAGTATGTGGTGGGATAGCTTTAAGATATAGATCTTATAAAATTGGGTCTTCTAGAGGGAAGTTGTGCTGTGGGTCTTGAGACCAGCAGGTTCTCAGGTCTAGGATTAAAAGGCTTCATTGATTTATGATTCAATTGAGAGAATTTGATGCCATTCCTAGTTTGATAGTAGATGAAGTTAGTACTGAAAAGTCACCTGACTTTTTTGGTATTTCACCTATGTCTTGTTGCTGAAAAATGATGTTAAAACCTAAACTGACTTTTCTGTGAGATTACTGTGCCTTTACCATGTTTGTTTCTTCTCCAGAAGGATTTAAAAGCTGGAATTGACAGGTGTGATAGCAGAGCTGTTGAATGCTGCTGCTTTCCCTGTCATATGGTCCCATAGCATTTTCTTTGTTCCTCTACTCCATTTATTTCTCATACTTTGCCTTGTGCTATGGGTCATTATGTGTCTGTTTCTGCTAGTAGATTGTGAGCTTCCAGAAGATCAGGTCAGGAATTTCCTCTCTGCAACCTCATATTGCCTAAATTGACAGTATTTAGGTGCTTCTTATATATTTGCAATATTTCAGTGATGCCGAAGGAACCATTAGATAATAGTCTAGTCCAGTTCCCTTCTTTTACTTGTGGGAAATTGAGAATTACAGTGATTTAGTCAATGTTGCCTAGTTGGCTTAGAGGTCTGTGTTCTAGTCTCAGTTCTGCTGATTGGTTGTTCCATTGGTTGTTCCTCAATGGGGAAAAGTTGTAGAAAAGGAAAAAACACTGAGTAGGTAGAAACAGATTACACTCACATTGCTGAAGTGCTATAATTTACTACGCGCTATCAATTAGATATTTTATTTTCAAATTTAGGAGTTCAGGTTTAGCTTGTAAGACCTGAAGAAAACCTTGTGTTTGTAAGAGTTCTATACTTGTCCTTGTCTACCACTCCAGCAATTCTTGTTTGCTGTGTTACATGGTTCAGAGTGCTGGTAGTAGTAATGGACTTTTTTTTTTTTTAATATTTAGTTTTTTAGTTGTAGATGGACACAGTACCTTTATTTTATTTTTATGTGGTACTGAGGATTGAACCCAGTGCCTCATGGATGCCAGGCAATGCTTTACCTCTGAGCCACAACCCCAGCTCAGGAGTAATGGACTTTTGATTGTCAGTTTCCAGTCACTTTTCAGGCAGCTTGGGTGGTAAATTCCAGTTGCCTGTGATGATGACAGAGAGTAATTAGTTGGGGCCTTTGTCTGAATTTCCCTCTGCTCCAAATGGAATAATAGCAAAGAAAAGAATTTAATTTCTTAGGAAATTTTGTAGTTTGGATTGGAATTGTTTTCCCCTCTTCTCCTATTCCCTTTTGCTTATTAGAAAGTATTGATTCTGAAATAGAGTGAGTTTATTAGATTTGGGGTGGACATTGATTAGCTGTAACCCAATTATAAATCCTCAGAGGGGTATGTTTGTAAACATGTACTTTTCATCCAGGAACTCATGGTTCCTGCTATTCCTGCTAATAATTGAAGCTGAGCACATGCAAGATCTATATCCACTAAGCTTAGAATTGCATTGCTTTTGATTTAATTTAATAGGATCCTCTTGATTTCCAATTTATTTTCCCAAGATAAAGGCATCTTTCTCTTGACAACCTGTTTAAAAGACACAGGAATGTTTTGAACAGAGGCTGTATTTCACGCTTTAAGGCAGAGCTATAATCAATATAATGTAAATTGTCTAATAGAATCTTCTCTTTTTGTTGTTATTTTTTTCTTCAGTCTTCTCTAGACTATAAAATAATTTGAAGGCTTAGTGAAACCTTAATAGAGATAGGTCTTACTAAAATTTTGGGTCATATGGGGACTTTGGAGGAATTTTTCCTATTAACTTTAGAGCCAGTCAGTGAACAGCTCTGCTGAGTGATTGCCATGAGCTTATAATAGAAAAAGTATAAGTTGTAGACCTACTGCTAAAGACATTTAATATCAAATTGAGGAGATTTTCTGTGTTTTGATGTTTGTTCAAAGATAAATTTCCTTTTCTGACTGCATGTATTAGAGAAATCAGATGTCTGAGATAGAATACTATTGGGTGCATCTCTTCCTTATACAGAATTTTGATTTGAAAGGTAAATGCATACTTTTCAAAACTTATTGAGCAAAATTAGTTCTGCTGCTTTGAATTTGTCTGGAAGTAAAATCAGCTTTCTCTTTAGCTTCCATGCTTGTCATTGGATGACCTTTAATTTCATACCTACATATTAGGATTTATGAGAGACAGGGGAACTTTGTTAGTATAATAAAATTAATCTGGGAAATGAGGGAAGATGTGTAAATCCATAGTGGAGAACTGTGGCATTTCAAGTTCTCTGTTAAAGAAAAGTTGAGACTTCCTTGAAGCAAGATTGGAAAATTGGGGCGTGATTCATGGAACTGCTTTTATATAGAACTGAAAATACATTGAAGTTTGATCTGCAAAGTATTACAAATATATATAATTAAATTTGAAAGTAGTATAGTATTATATTCAGTTATTTTGAAGTTAAATTTAATTTTTACCCTCTTAACTGCTATTTTCTGCCTTGGGTCTCTTTTCAGAGGAATTTCTGAAGACAGTCAAGTGCAATATGATTTATGAGGCAGTGAAGGCCAAGTATTTTGCACTGACGAGAACCTACTTACTTTGGGGAAATCGATGGAGCACATCAGTCTGCAGCACACTTCCTGCCTTAATGGTCCTAAGCTCGATCAATATTTGAAATTTAACTTCAACATCAGTCTGTGGGAAGTGTGTGCTTTGCAGCCTTCCTTCTATCAACCTCAAATATATGGCCAGACCTATTATAGATGGAGCTAGTTACACTTTCCTGTTTGGTTTTGGAACTGCTTTAAGCCTTGTCCATTGGCACATTTTAAGGATGTAAAATGTGTTGTGCTTTAGGCCAAGTAATGATTTAAATCTTGACATAACCTGGACTGGGATGGGGGTGTTGGATAGATCTGTAGTATGGTTGTTTATCATTTCTTCTTCCTAAAATATTTTTCCATTGAGAGACATTTCAATAGATTCTCCAGCATCTTGGAGAGCAGTCTGGTACTGACTGTGGCTTTGTTTTCTTTTTAAAAATATTTTATTTATTTATTTAACCCAAAGGTGTTCTACCCCCAGCACTTTTTTTTTTTAAATTTATTTTTATTTTTATTTTTTTAGTTTTCGGTGGACACAACATCTTTTGTTTGTATGTGGTGCTTAGGATCCAACCCGGGCTGCACGCAAGCCAGGCGAGCGCGCTACCGCTTGAGCCACATCTTCAACCCTACCCCCAGCACTTTTAAATTTTATTTATGTTTATTTATTTATTTAGTTGTGCTGGAGATTGAACTCAGGGCCTGGGGCATACTAGGCAAGTGCTTTTTCACTGAGCTACATCTCTATCCCTTTATTTTTTTATTTTTATTTTTAATTTTTGGTACTGAGGATTGAATCCAGAGGCGCTTTATTACTGAACCACATCCCTAGCCATTTTTATTTTTTATTTTGAGACAGGGTCTCACTAAGTGTGCACCACTGTGCCTAGTTCCCAGTCCTTTATTTATTTATTTTTTAATTTATTTTTTGGTGCTGAGGATTGAACCCAGGGCCTTGTGCATGGGAGGCAAGCATTCTACCAACTGAGCTATACCTTCAGCCCCTATATTTTATTTTGAATAAAATAAGTTAAGTTGCTGAGATTGGCCTCAAACTTTGAACTTTCTGCATCATTTACCTGAGTTGCTGAAATTACAGGTGTGCACCATTGTGTCCCGCAAAAAATCTATTTTTTCAGTCATTTTATATTCACAGAAAATTTGAGAGACAGGTACAAAAATAGCCCAAGATATCTCATATGTTCCCTGCCTCTATATATCTACAGCCTTCCCTGTTAAATATTCCTACCAGAGGAATATTTGTTACAGTTGATGAATCAGCATTTACTTACACATCATTATCATCCAAAGTACACGTTTACATTAGGATACACTGTTGCTATTATATATTCCATGAGTTTGAAAAAATGCATAATGACATATTCACCATTATGATAGATATAGATTATTTTCATTGCTGTAAATTTGGCTTTTTTCCCACAGATTCTCTAACCATGGCACAGGTAGAAAAACGGGGCGGTTTGCTCAGGAAATCTTCAGCCTCCAAAAAACCACTAAAGGAAAAAGTGGTGCTGATGTATGATGAGATCTTTATGGTAAGTCCTGGAGCCCTTCATACTATATACCCTGACTTCTTAGTTTCTTAGTTCAATGAGAAATAACCTTATGTCTGTCTGCCACCTTCAAGTTTCTTAAGAGTGTGGGGTGAGAAAGGGAGGGGTGGGAGGGAAGCAGCAAACCAAAGGACAAGAGCAAGCTCTCAATAGTAGTGATTATGTTGCAGTATTGGGGATTTAACCCAGGGGTGCTCTACCACTGAGCTACATCCCCAGCCTTTTTATTTTTTATTTTGGGACAGAGTCTCACTAAGTTGCCCAGGCTGGCCTTGAACTTGCCATCCTCTTGTTTTAGCCTTCACTGGGATTACTTGTTAACTAGAAATTTCTGACTTATAGATTCTGTTTGAAAATTATTGTTAACAAATTTTTGGCTTTAGTACCCTAGTTTTGCTAATCTTTTGGGCCAATTTGAATTAAGGAAAGAGCACATTAAAATCTCTATATAAAGGGGCTTGGGTTGTAGCTCAGTGGTAGAGTGCTTGCTTAGCATGTGTGAGGTACTGGGTTTGGCTTCAGCACCATATAAAAATAAAAAAAATTGTGTCCATCCACTACGAAAAAAAGTATTTAAAAAAAAAATCTCTGGGGGGGGCTGGAATTGTGGCTCAGCGGTAGAGCACTTGCCTCGCACGTGCGAGGCCCTGATTTGATCCTCAGCACACATAAAAATAAATAAACAAAGTAAAGGTATTGTGTACAACTAAGAAGTAAATATTAAAAAAAATCTCTGTATAGAGGACTCCTAGGTTCAACCCTCAGTATTGAAAAAAAAAGTTAAAATCTCTGTATAGAGGACTAAATGTGTATTGTAGGGCAAGTAGAAACAGTCAACATAGGATAATGTGAAAAAACATTGCAATATTACTTAGATCACCTGTGTTCTAACTCTTACCCTTCTGTTAGTCACTTAACTTTGTGGACCCTCTTTCTTGAAAGGAGGACAAATGATAATAATTATCCTTCCTGTCTTACTGGCTAGTTGTATTTTATTTTTTAATTTTTTTAAGTTGTAGTTGGACACAATACCTTTATTTTATGTATTTATTTTTTTTATATGGTGCTGAGGATCGATTCCAGTGCCTCACACATGCTAGGCAAGTGCTCTACTGCTGAATCACAGCCCCAGCCTCTGTATTTTATTTTTAAATGGAGTTAAAACCACCATACAAATACAAGGGGACATTGTAATGTGACTTATTTATTCATATTTTTATGTTCACTTCTTACTAGAAGAGAACTATTTGAAAGAAATTTTATTTATTTATTTATTTATTTTTATGTGATGCTGAGGATTGAACCCAGGACTTCGAACATGCTAGGCGAGTGCTCTACCACTGAGACACAATCCCAGTCCTTGAAGGAAATTTTTTGAGTCATTATTTAACTTTTGTTTCAGGGAATGTATCTCTATGCACAATGCATTCCATTAGGAAAAATAAACTTAAGAATAAAATGTTCTCTTATCTATTACAGCAGTTAGGATAAGCAGCATTTTCAAAGTTAATTTTGAAAGGTAAGGTTGACTATGTGTAGCATTCTTAATTCTTTTGGTGTTAGCTGGGAAAGTTGAAAATGTTTATCTTCTGGTTTCAGACAGAGGACCCCAGTAAGTGTAGTCCTCGGTTTTGGGAAGAGCTTTTCCTTATGAAGGTAAGACTTGATGGCCTCTGTTGGTTTTCCTAGTTACTAAGATGGCCATATTTTATGTTCTACTTGCTACACTAAAAATGTACTCAGGCCCTTATTGTTTCATTGGCAGGTGAATTTAGAGTACCTAGAAGGCAAATTGGAATCTCTTGATGGTGAGGAGTTAATGAAGATCAAGGACAATATTAATTGCTTATTTCAACATTGCATCCAGGCTCTGGGAGAGGAACATCCAATTCGTGTTGTCAATGCATTGCAGGTACAAGGCTAGGACCCTTTTGGGGGTTCTTGTTTATCAGAGAAAGGAATTATAATTCCCCATTGGGACCTGAGGAAACTAGAATTGTCTTTAGGTATGAGGTTTCCCCATCTGCTACTGGGGATTGAACCTAGGGACTCTTTACTACTGAGTTAGTTCCCAGCCCTTTTTATTTTTTATGTGAGACAGAATCTTGCTAAATTGCCAAGGCTGGCCTAAAACTTGGAATACTCTTGTCTTAGCCTCCCAAGTAGCTGAGATTGCAGGCATGTACCCTGTATTCATCTCAACAGCTACTCATTGAACAACTGCTGTGTGTTAAACATTGGACACAGTGTTGTGCTGGGGGATATGCTTAGCTTCTTTTTTTTGGTACCAGGGATTGAACCCAGGAGCACTTTAACAACTGAGCCACATCTCCAGTCCTTTTTTTTTGTTTGTTTGTTTTAATTTTTTTAGTTGTAGGTGGACACAATGCCTTTATTTTTATTTATTTATTTTTATGTGGTGCTGAGGATCAAACCTAGTGTCTCACCTGTGCTAGGTGAGCACTCTACCACTGAGCCACAACCCCAGCCCCACCAGTCTTTTTAAATTTATTTTTTATTTTGAGACAGGGTTTTATTAAATTGCTTAGGGCCTCAGTAAGTTTCTGAGGCTGGGTTTGAACTTTGATCCTTCTGTCTCAGCCGCCTTAGCTGCTGGGATTGTAAGCATGCACCACTGTGCCTGGCCATACATTTGGCTTCTCCTTTTTTTTTTTCTTTTAAAACATTTATTTATTTATTTTTGGTTGTAGATGGACACAATACCTTATTTTAGTTATTTTTATGTGATGCTGAGAATTAAATGCTAGGCAAGCTCTCTACCATTGAATCACAGCCTCCGCCCACACTTGGCTTCTTTAAGGCAGAGATTTTGACACTTTCATTCAATACTTTGTTTTTAGTACATATAACAATGTCCAGCACGTAGTTGGTATTATAGAAATAAATTTCTACTGAATGAATAGAAGACAAAATTTCTAAAGTTTGTAGTCTGTAGGATCCAGTATACCCTAGATTGGGAGTATGTACTTAGGACAGTAATTGACAAGCTTAGATTATAAAGAATTTATTTATTTTTAAAATTTTTAGTATTTATTTTTTTAGTCTTCGGCAGACACAACATCTTTGTTGGTATGTGGTGCTGAGGATCGAACCTGGGCTGCACACATGCCAGGCGAGCGTGCTACCGCTTGAGCCACATTCCCAGCCCAGGAATTTATAATATAATAAAGGATTTTGTTGGAATTTTTGGTAGACAGGATTCAAATTTCTAATTTACTAGTTTTGAAAATCTTTTTGTGAGCCCCAGTTTTCTCATCTGTGTAGAATAGGTAGAATAATTACCTCTTGAATTGATGCCCCAGAAAGAAGGCCTGTGTTTATCCTAGAGCCTTGACCTTTGGCACAATGTATTTAACATTTGAGTTGTCCAGTAGGGGCTCAATGTAAGTGAAATAAAAGTTGGAATTATATGTGCAGTAATTACAATGGCTCATTATGAGGGCAGAAATAAGTTGATCTTAAGCTACTTGATGATCCCCTAAAAGTATAGTACATTATTATAATAGTTAATACAAAACTTCAGGGATGACTCTTCTTTTTCTTCTTTTCCTTTTCTCTCTCCCTCTCCCTCCCTCTTTCTTTCTTTCTTTCTTTCTGTACTGGGGATTGAACCAGGGGTGGTTTAACATTGGACTGCATCCCTATCCCTTTTATGATTATTGAGAATGGCCCTAAAACAAGAAGGAGGCAAAAAATGGAAGATGACAACAGTCTTTGTTGCTGTTCCTCTTTTAATTTATGGATTTTGCACATGTTAAGATTCAGACTGTATTTTGGAGCTCAGAGTAACTGAGAAATTATCTATGTAAGAAGGTGGTTCTGAGGTTATAATGTGAGGCTACAGATGTAGTGAGCACCCTTCTAGTTCGGAGACTTCCTCTCTAGAAACAATTCTTTCTTTTACTTCTGCAGACCTTGTGTGCACTTATTCGAGGAGTCCATCAAAAGAATAAGTCTACCTCTGGGTTTGATATTATCAACATGCTGATGGGCTTTGACAAGGCGGAGCTTTGCATGAAGGTGAGACATAAGCTGCCGATGTGCCTATGAATGACTGCTTCTAACAGTTGTTCATGAGTGTTATCTGCAGAAAGTTGTACTAGAAGATTTGGATTCTCATAGCTCTATATGATTAAATATGGCCTTGGACTTTTTTTGTGTGTGTGTGGTGCTGGGGATTGAACCTAGGGCCTTGTGTATGTGAGACAAGTACTCTACCAACTGAGCTATGTCCTCAACCCAGATATTTTTATTTAATAGATTTTGTTTATCTGAATCAAGGAAAAATTTATCTTTAAATTTGAATTAAGGCAGTTGGGCACAGTGGTGCGTGCCTATATCCCAGCAACACGGGAGGCTGAGACAGGACGATTGTGAGTTCAAAGCCAGCCTCAGCAAAAAGCAAGGTTCCAAGCAACTCAGTGAGGCCTGTCTCTAAATAAAATACAAAATAGGGCTGGGGGTGTGTCTCAGTGGTAGAGTGCCCCTTAGTTCAATTCCTGGTACCCCCCCCACCCCCGCAAAAAAAAAATTGAATTAAAAATCCTTTTTCTAGGGGTGGGATGTAGCTCAGTGGCAAAGCGTCTGCCTTGCATTC